AGAGTGAATGAAGTATTTCAAAGTGAGTCATACTGCAAAGATGACGAGACAGGATGGCAGGAGAAGCCCCTTGTGGAGGTACCATTGCAGGAAATTTGAAATTCTTCTGTGCTAAGACCTGAGTGTTATAAAGTATTCGTATCAAGTTCTGAGGTTACATGTGCCAAGCAAAGAGATACATTTTTTGAGCAGGTAGAGAATCCCAGGATAGGACACAGTGAGTGAAGCAGAAAGGGCTGCTATACAATGTCAGAGTCAGAAACGGGGCTGGACGATGGAGACAGGGACCAGATGATGTTGACAGGGCACATATGATGAAGGCAGGGACCAGGTAATGGAAAACAGGGACCAGGCGATGGAGGCAGGAGGGGTAATTTGTGGGATGTGGTATAGTATTTATCTTTCACACTTCATGTGATGGGGCGTAATGGAGCATAAGCTAGGGATGGAGGCACTGTGGCCCGTTCATGTGGTGAGGACAAACCAGAGCAAGGGAAAAGTAGAGCCAGAAAGACTGGTAAGGAGGCCACTGCATGAATCCAATTAACAGGGGCAATGATCTAGTCTTGGAAGTGCAGAGAAGTGGATGCGTTTGAAAGGCATTTTAGAGTTAGAATCCAGACGATGGGGTCATTCTTCCCGTGGGTTTAAATGTTAACAGAATCCCTTTCCATGTCAAATGTTCATTATCACCTGTTATGTGATAAGCACAAAGCTAGATCTTCAAGCCATACAGAGGAGTGAGAATCCCTCAATGAGGACCTTAAAAAAGTGAGTATGAAAAATAAGTCAACAAACACAAGAGTGTTTGAGTCTTACATAACCCTTTGCGTTTTCCTGAATTCTTGTAATTTTTCAAAGAAAACACATTTATAATGCATTGAGATCAGGTCTCTGCTAGGTAACTGCCTCTGTGGAAACTCAGAAGAAAAAGCAATCATTTTGTGGGGGTCAGGAGATCTGGAGTCATACCTCAAGGAGAGGCCCAAATGACCAGGAATCCTCCTGAGGAGTGGATGGAGAGAGGGAGGTGGAAAGACGTGGGGCAGATGAAACACCTCGGAGCATCAAGTGGGGAAGGCTGGGAATGGTCTTGGAAACTTGGTGATGACAGTGGGGTAGAAGATGAGGCTGGGATGGGAGGAGGAACAGATCACAGGAGACTGGTCCTCCATGCTAAGTAGTTGTGATTTCCATATCACCAAGGGTTAAGCAGTGGGTACAAGTCACATTTAGAGTTTGGAGAGATTTAAGGAAGAAAAAAAAAAAAAACAACTAGAGACCAGTTTGAGCACTTGGATGGATACGGCAGAATTGGGTTTAAAGAGAGCACACGTCTACATCTCAAGACCCTTCCCCTAACATTCCTTTTCCCACCCACAGGGCTTGAGCCCACTTGCTAAGACCTGCTCCGAAAATGCTCATCTTTATCACATGTGCTGCCACCCTCATTCCCGGGCATCCCTGTTCCTTCTCCCCGAAGAGCCCCACCTTTTCTGCTCCTGCCTTCGGGGGTCTTTGTCCATGTCTCTGTGCATAAGTGGATCTTTGTCTTCCCCACCAAGTCACCTCTGCAGGGACCACTGTAATTATTTTCTTTATAGAAATGAGAACACATGTGGATTTATTTCTCTGCTCACTTGTCTACTGTCTTCTCCCTGTAGAGAATAAGTTGCTTGGCCACATCTCTCTCATTCATGAGGCTATCAGCAGTGCCTAGGATGCAAATTATCATGTACAAGCAGCTCATTAAGTACTCCGGAAGAAGGGGAAAGGGAGAGGAAGAGGCGATAAAGGATAGTGTCCCATGGAGGTGACAAACCAGACTTGGGTACCACTCCACACAGTCAGGTGAGGTCCATGAGAAGAGGAAGAAGAGATGCATTTCTGCCTCGAAGTGATGCCCATTCACAGTTCTGGAATCAATGGTTAGCAAAACAACAGTGAGTGAGATGTTTAGAAAGAGCCTCCATGTTCCAGGAAAACTAGAGAGAGGGGAGAGAGCCTCTTTTAGAGGCTTGCATATCAAAATTATTCCATCAGAAGCATGCTGAAATTATAAAAGGCAAACAAAATCATCATTAGCTGGCGAGCTGAGGGCTGTTTATTTTAGCCAGCGAGTCTTTTTGCTTGAGGTCAAATCATCGTATTTACTGCCTAGCTAGATTAGGAGACACTCTGCCAACTGGAGCGGTTGCTTCTGACAACAGCCTACTACTGCATTCAGCTCTGTTTTACCAGTGAGAAAATTGAGCCCCAGAGAGAGAGAGGATGACCTGCCATGTGGCACACTTAGTGAGTGGAAGAGCCAGAATTCAGACCAGGATATCTGGTCTCAAAACTGCCAGTCACTGAGGTGACCCATTCTTGGGTCAAAGTTGCTCTCAAGGAGCAGTGTAGAACTCAGCACACATATTGTAAGCAATGTCAATGTGAGCTGTTCATCAGCTGTATTGGTTGGGATGGGCTAACAGTGGGGGTGGGGGGAGGAGACGGGGAGGGAGCACTCAGTGGCTTCCCATAGCAGCCATTCCCTTCTACCCTATGCTCATTCAGAGACATCCTCATCTCCGCTGTCCCCGGCTCATGCTGTCCTTCCCTGGCCATATGAGTAAGCAGAACAAGGAGGGGACCTTGGCCAGCATCATTCCCATGGCCCCCGGGGATATAAAAGGCCTGCAAGGTCTTCGGGCCCGCATCCAGAAAGGCAGCATGTCGGTGCATTTTTACAAGACACCATCTAGGTGCCCATTTCTAAGGATTTCTTTGGAGAAAGCCTGGCAAGGTGAGCTGAGAAGAGGGAGATACTGATTCTGGTTCTGGCTGTGCCAGTTGTTAATGGCTGGCCTCCAGCAATGGACTCCAGACTTCTTACTACCGATCTAAAGGAGTCTCACCCAGTGGCCCATCTCAAGGCTGTTCTCATCCAGGAAGCGCATTATAATAAAGTAACCTTTGATCATTTTTAAGAACTCTAGGTTATCGTAATCATTTCAATACTGATGATCTATTTGTATTTTTGTTCAAATTGTAACCATAATTGCAACATTGATTCTGGAGGAAAATACTATCTATTTTCTTTCAACAATCAATTTCTAGTCATATATCATACATGTATGCTTTAGGGCAAGAATAAGCCTCCAACTTTTATTAGAACTAGTTATGTGAAGCAGTTCATTACATTAGAGAAATATGTTTATTTTTATAATGTCTAGCGCTGGGTTTCAGTAACAAAAACAATGTTCTGCATGTAGATTATTTGCCGCGATCCAACAGGTTTTGTTTCACACAGTTCTTCCCTGCATTAGAGGGGACCTATATGTTTCAGGTTAGTAGGGTAAAAGCTGTCACTAAAACACAACTCAGGTCAGCAAAGTCAATACCACCGGCTAAGGCTCCACTCTGTGCCCTCACAGCCAGAGAGGCTTGCTTTGTGAACTGTGTGCTATCATAACCACAGGGATTTTGTCAGGTGGGTGGTTTGAGAACTGGGGTGAGGTTTGGATAGCCAAGGCTGGATAAGGTATTAGAGATGGTGGGGGTCAGGAGCTGCTCAATGGGATTCTTCTTCCTTCTTTGTGAATAAAAGAAAATGTATATTTACATATTTACACACACACACACACACACACACACACACACACACACCCATTCAGACTCCTCATAGGAGACCAGAGCTAGAAGAAAAGTAGAGCCCAGGAACACTTCCTTGTGTCCCACAAGTTCTCCACCTCACATCTAGAGAACATCTGAGCTAGGCCTTGTGTCCCACTGTCCCCACCACTACCATCCCCTGTCCTGATGCCACTGTCTCCAAACAACTGGAATGGCCTCCCCACCTCTGTCTCTCCAGTCTGTTTTCTCACACCTGCACATCAGCTTTTTTATGGAGTAGACAATCATTCTAATTCTGCTCTGCCTAAAACCCAAGGCTCTCACAGCATGCACCAGCCTAAGCACAGCCTTTTGGACACAACTCTGCAGCGACTTTTGCCTCTAAGATTCAGTTCTCCCTCCCTGAGGAATGAGTCACACCTGTATACTCACTCCCACAAAACGAACAATCAACCAGACAAACAAAATCCTGCTCTTTGCAATAGGAGGAGAACATTACTGAAAACCACAACCAATCAGAATGCAGAGTTCCAATGGACACATCTACAACTCCCACACCTAACGCTCAGAGATCATTTGGAAGAGGGGGCAGGAAGGCTGTAAGAGCCAGAGGATTGGGGAGTTTGTTGTGAGACTGTGTCTTTACGAATGTCAGAAGCTGCACACATAAAGTCTCACCAACATGACTGCCTAAAAATGAGCTGAATAAAGAAAACAATAATAGACACACTAAAGTGGGTGGAGAAAGCCCATGAGGCCTCAACCCTACATAAAGAGCTACAAACAACTAAGAAATTCTAAGAGCAGGAGAAAGAGTCTTCCCCCCAAAAAAGAGCACACCAATTGGTTATCCAATACCAAATGGTCAGCCCTGAAAACGTACATACAGATAACATTCAGCAGGGTTCTCAACCTGTAGGTCGTGACCCTTTGGGTCAAACAACCTTTTCATAGGGGTCACCTAAGACCATTGGAAAACACAGATATTTACACTATGAATTATAACAGTAGCAAAATCACAATTATGAACTAGCAACGAAAATAATTTTATGGTTGGGGGTCACCAACCTGAGGAACTGTATTAAAGTGTCGCAGCATTAGAAAGGTTAAGATCCACCGTTAAGATCTACAGACTGAGCAAGTTGTATTTATGTATTATATATTTGTGTATTATGTAAAAATCAATGAAAAATGAGACCATGAATTTGAAAGAGAGCAGGGAGGAGGACATGGGAGGGTTTGGAGGGAAGAAAGGGAAGGAGGCAATGATGTAACTATAATTTCAAAAATTACAAAAAGAAGGCCCTAACCCTGCCAAGTGAAAGGGGCTTCATGAAGGGCTGCCTGCTTGTGGCCAGCCTGCAGGTCTATGGCTTTAATTCTAGGCATCCAGAGGTGGGGAAGAATGGTCATCTGAGGGAAACTTGCTGGCGTTCAAAGGACTGTGGAGCTCATAGGTGAGGCTGAAGGAGAATGACTGGCATTTGCTGGCCTAAGCCTTGCCACCAGGCTTTAGTCAGTTCCCCTAAATTGTCAGTCTCAAACTGACAATCACCGAAAGACACTGGTATGTTCATCTTATCAGGAGCGGATGTTTTCTGGAGAAAGAAAAATTCCTTTGTTTAAGAGGACACACCATCCTTTGGACTCCCTTATCAGGGGCCTTCCAGATCCTGACAGCCCATTCATGTCAACTTTCCTGTCCAGTGTTTATCATCCCACCTGAGGCTATGAGGTCGTTAACTCTTCTGTTAGGGATTATGCTGGTTTTAGTAAAGTAGCAGTTGTGGGTTCTCCAAGAGACACGACTTCGCTAGCCTTGGGTAGTTAGCTAGGTTCCCAGTACCAGGCATGGTTTCCCTCTTGTTGAGGGTGTCTTAAGTCCAATTTAGGAAACTATTGGTTACCACCAAGCTATGTGTGCCACTACTACACCCGATCGTCGTGCGGTTCATAGGCGGCATAGCTGGGTAAGGCAGTTGGTTGGGATGCCTCCCTCCTTTGGAAGCTTCTTCTGGTGCTGTTGTGCATAGGGAAAACTACTCAGCTGTTAAGAAAAACTAAATCATGAACTTTACAGGAAATGGATGGAACTAGAAAAGATCATATTGAGTGGGGCAACCCAGACACAGACAAACGCCACGTGTTCTCTCTCATCTGAGGCCCCTAGCTCCAAATCTTCAGATGTGGGTACATAGCCCAGAGTAACTGCAGAAACCAGGAAAGTTAAAAGGGACCTTTTCCGGGGTGGGAGTGTGGTAGCAATAAAGAGGGGGTTATTAAGGTACAAATAATCTGATGGTGAAAAATGAGAAAAATGGAGGGAGCACTAATTAGGAAAGAGGAGGGAGATAAATATAGAAGGAGGGTAATGTAACAGTAACAATGTCTGAAAAAGTCATAAGGAATCATACTAGTAACAATCTACCAAAAAACAAAACAAAACAAAAAAACCTGTAATACACATGGCTGTATATAAATATGCACATATAGTTTAATGAAATGTTCCCATCTGGGTTGACAATGTTCCCTCCAAGAGCCCAAGACCACCTAACAAAAACCCCAATACCAGGTATTAGAAGCCCTCTTTGAGTTGTCGGCCAAGGCTGTCCAAGAGATTTACAACACAAACAGCCCATTGCTGTTGCCCTTGCTACTTCCCAGAGGTGGAAGGTAAGTCCCTATTGCTGAGGACTTCAGACATGGGGTCCAGAGGTCCCTGAGCTGGAACTGAACTCAAAGCTTCCTCCGTGAGAACCAACTTTGGGGGTAGTACCTCTTTAACAATGAGGACCGGGCTTGGAGGTAATGGGAAGCCAGAGCTCAAAGCTGGAATTACCCTGTTGTCATTAGAGATAACCTGCAGTTTTATGGATCATGTCTGTATATTTTACAGTTCACAAAACGCATGAAATAGTCTGGGCTGTGTGGATCCTCACAGCATTAGAGAGATGCTTATTAGCTTCATTTTGTAGTTGAGGTTCACTAACTTGCCATGGTCATACGGGTTAATCTGAGGCTCAAACCCAGATCTTCTGACTCTAGTACCAATCTCCCCTCCGTCACCTCATACTCAGGCAGAAAGAAGCTTGTGGGGAAACAACGATGAATGAATGACTCTTTCCCTGGCTAGACACTACAGAGGAGTGTAGAGATTAATAATATTTTGTTTCTAGGGAGCTGAAGGAAACTTCCCCCATTCTCTCCCTCTTTCAAGCCCACCCCCACAAGCACACACATGAAGATTGATTGGCATCCATTGTTCACGTTACAAGAATGGATGAATGACATTTTTATGTCAGTGATACTTGAAAGTAACAAAAAGATAGGCTCTTCCAGAGTACATTCGGCTCAATGTGTGACTTCTTTTGCATACTGTCCCATGGAAGCCCTAACTTTTCATTCATCCCACTGAGGAGATATTTAATTGTTTCCTGAAAATGCTAATAGCACAAAGCTCATAAATACTAATGAAATGTTATAGATTAGCAGTGCTCAGCAAGTAACCTGGGGAGCCTAGACAAGAATTCTTAGATTAAAAAATATAAAGAATACCTTTTAATCCAATTTTCCCCAGACTAGGTTCCCAAATGTTAATGAGTACTCTCTCTCTCTGCCTGTGTGGAGAGCTGACTCTCACAAGTACCTTTAAGAATGCAGAAGTGAATTATTGACTTAGCTTTAGTTGAAAAGAAATCTGTTTATTCAAAGGCTATTTTAGGTGCCACGGGATGGACATGTTGAAGACAAAGGTGGGGGAATAGGAGAGTCTGGGACATGGAGATAAACACATAATTCAAATGCATGCTTCTATTTCAGCCAACTAAGCAATCTAAGTTGGAATTTGCTTATTATATTCGTCTTTCATGTCACAATCCTTCAATAATAATAATTGCCCTGGGCTCTAAAAGCTGGTGTCAGAAACCATAACTTTGTCATTCATTGCTGAATCTACTATGCCCAGCACAGACTCTGGCACAAATCAAATGTCCAATAAATGTTTGTGAAATGGATAAAGGGCTCTCTTACAATATTTTACAGAGCTTTTCATATCTGTGATCTTTTCCTAAAGGTCAGCTCGGATCTCAGTGACTGCTACAAAGTTCCACATGAGACCAGTTCTCTGCCCCAGCCACTGCTCACCCTCCTCCCTCCTCTTCTGGTCTCCTCCTCTCCTACGCTGAGCTTCAGACTCATTGGACAGCAGTTTGTTCTTCCGTTCATGTTCTAGACGTTGCTCTCTGCCTGAGATGTTTAAATATCCTTTGTGCCCAAAGTTCTCGATTAAAATCTTATTTATCTTTGAGAGAATCTGTCCGTGGCTGGAGACTGCCCTACTATTCTCCATGGCTCAGGACCTTTCTTCTTGCTGATCCCCTGCTTCTTGCAGAGTCCAGCACCACCCGATGCAGAACAGGTTATGAGGAAGTGTGGTCTTGGTGTCACTGAATGTGAATCACAGATTCTATGCAAGGAGCCCTTGGTCTCAGGATGGCTATGTGTGGGATCAAGTGAGAGGAGACCAGCTGAATCCTCCCACAACAGAACAGAACACTTGCTCTAAGTCAGTGGTTCTCAACCTGTGGCTTGAGACCCCTTGGGAGTCCCATATCTGATATCAGATGTTAGATTACGATTTATAACCATAGCAAATTATAGTTATGATGTATCAACAAAATAATTTTATGGTTGAGGGGGTTGCCACAACATGAGGAACTGTATTAGAGGGTCTCAGCATTAGGAAGGTTGAGAACCACTGCTCTAGGTGAACCAAAAAATACTGGGTATACAAGACTGAGGCAAAGCAAAGGGACATGGGGAAAATATAATGGAAATTAAGAGGAGGAGAAATCCTTATGTGCGTGTATGGCAGGAGTGGGGGTGTGTGTGGAGTTATGGCTTCTGTGGGGAGGGCAGAGGGGGGCTGTGGCATTATGGGTTATGTGTGTGAGGGGTTTGTGGGGGGGTACTGGGGGTGCTGTGGAGTTGTGGCGTGTGTGTGTGTGTGTGTGTGTGTGTGTGTGTGTGTGTGTGTCAGGAGGGGGAGGACTGTGGAGTTAGGGCGTGTGTGTATGTGTGTGGTTGGGGGGTCCTATGGAGTTATGGCTTTTGTGTGTGTTGCTGGTGGGCAGTCCTGTAGAGTTATGGCTTATGTATGTGTATGGCTGGGGGTATTGGGGTTCTGTGGAGTTATGGCTTGTCTGTGTGGCTAGGAGGTATCTATGGAGTTATGGCTTATGTGTATGTGGCTGGGGGAGTGGGCCTGTGGAGTTATGGCGTGTGTGTGTGTGTGTGTGTGTGTGTGTGTGTGTGTGTGTGTGTGTGTGTGTATGTGGCTGTGGGGGGCACCTATGGAGTTACGGCTGCATCTGTGGTTGCTTTTCTCTCCAGGGAGCCTGGAATCTTGGAATGAAATGGTGTATTGGCAGATCCACATCATAGGGTGTCTCCAGTCCTCCCAGTAGCTTAGGCAATGCCTCCAGTGAGAGGACATGGCTTTCTAGAGTACTTTTTACTTGGTTGCATATTGAATTTTAGTTTGGGCTTACACTTTCTGTAAACCTGCACTTAGGAAGGAGTTGGGTTTTGTTCTGGGTCTCTTAGTGCTTTGGGGAAGTGTCTCACACAGAGAAATCAATCTCTTTGCAAACAGTAGAATGGGATAAATGCTTAAGTCAGTCTGAGGAATAGCCAAGGAGTCTAAGATTCCACAAATCCTGGGCTGCTTGCCAAAAATGGGTTAATTCCATACAAAGGACTAGGAGGCCCAGAGCAATGCCTGTGAATAGTTCACTCTTTGGCGATCTGGAGCCAAACTTCCCAGAATAAGTCCAGCTCTGCCACTCATGTATCTTGTGACTTGTGCCTCCATCTCTAGCTGAAGGATGGAGAATGATCACATCTGCTGCATAAGGTAATAATGAGTCATTGAGTGTGAAGTGAATTAATGGGAAGAATGTGCCTAGAGCAATGCCTGGCACATAATAAGTGCTTTGAAAACATAGGCTAAAATCATTGCTGTACTTTTATAGCATTACTTCGGTTCCTGTGGGCCACCGGGTACAGTAATAGGTGCCAAGCTGTGCCACTGCAAGAACTGTGCAAATAATACCACTTGGGTTGAGGCCAAAGGTCAGCAGACCAGGCCAGGTGAAGCTGAGATGGGCATATGGCCCCTGAGTATATGGGACAATTATAAAGCATGTTATCCAAGGAATTAAACCTCCTCTAGACAACCTCCAGGGCACCTTGTAACCTACCACTGTGTGTGGAGCACATCTTTAGCCTCCAGGCAGCAGAACTAAACCTGAACTAACCTGGAATTTGGAGCTCAGGATACACACAGGCCTCCTGGTACACCTGTCCACAGTTACAGCACTATCCTACTACTCACTTAAAAGACAACATGCCCCAACCACTCAGGAGTCTATGGCTGGATGATTATAAGTTTAAGCCTATAGTGGCTGACATGTAGAAACCCTGTTGGTCAGCAAAGTGACAGGTAAAATGCTGTAAAATTCACATCTGCTTGTCAGCATCCTTGGGAGGATGCTGGATTCATTATCCAAAACTCTGGACGTTCCCTACAAATCCATGTAGCCTCGAACATCTTCTTCACCACTTCAGACCTCACTCACATCTGTCGTCCTTAAGTGAAAGAACTAGCCAGAAGTTTCCAGCCTGAAAGTCAGTTATTGTTGATATTCGAGTCCAGGGTAATGTGTTATACAGCAAAGGGTCTCCTCAATTTCTCTGAATCATGTCCGTTCCCAAAGTCACCTCTGAACACAGGAACCTGTGGATTCCAGAATCCACGGGACCCTCTGAGAGTCTACACCTGAGAGCTGCTCCCTAAGATATGTGTGGCGATGTAGAGGCGTGAAGAGAGGGAATCTACTTGTCCAAGAATAGGAGGATGGTCCCTGTCGCTTAAGTTTGGAACAGGGGCCCCATTGCCTGTTCCCAAGCATCAGTTCCAGGGGGCTGTTAGGCTTCTCTCTGTGAGGAAAAAAAGGAACAGGTAGGGAGGAAATTGAGAAGTTTTGCTTGCAAGTAGCAAGTGGGGTGAGAAAGAAGGAGAGGATAGAAAGCAGAGAGGACCAGATACAGGAGTGTGGTGTAAAGAGAAGGGGAGACAGGGAGAAAGCAGAGAGGACCAGATACAGGAGTGTGGTGTAAAGAGAAGGGGAGACAGGGAGTAGAAAGCAGAGAGGACCAGATACAGGAGTGAGGTGTAAGGAGAAGGGGAGACAGGGAGTAGAAAGCAGAGAGGACCAGATACAGGAGTATGGTGTAAGGAGAAGGGGAGATAGGGAGTGGAGAATAGAGCAAGCACCCAGGGTGGCAGGGATGTGGCAAGATGAGGACCGATGACCTCTTAGCCAGGTAGAGGAAATCTCACCGTGTGTTTAAGCTTTAGGGAGCATCTAAAATGATAAGCTGTGTTCCTAGGGAGTTACACACAAAGCTATCATATGGGAAATATACCTTCATCACCTGCCAGGTGAACGACAGTTGAGAAAAGATTGAGGCTTGTCACTTTAGAGGGCATAGGGCTAGAATTAACCAGAAAACACATAGTATACACACTGATTAATTTATCCAACAACAACTGAGCACCTAGTGTGTACAAGGTCTGATGTAATATTAATTCTTTTATCCTAAGCCCAAAAGCATGTGTGTACATTATGAGAGCGGGTTAATGGTTATTGACTCATTACATGCACTTTGTTTATCGAGTCTTAATACAATTTCAATAAACTCTGCAAACTGTTGATTCCTTCTCCTTTCTAAGCATTAAAACCACTGACACTGTGAAAATGGTGGACCATTCCTCTGCACTTCCCTTGAATTGTCTGTTTTATTCTCTCCAGGTGCTCCTGGTGACATGCCCAAACCCGAAGCCAAAAGAGGAATCAATTACAAGTGGCCAGCACTGCATTCTGTGGAGTCCGGGGCTTGTTAGGTAGTTGGGATCCTCTGGCCCCACACTAGCCCAGCACCATGGAGACAAACAGTTCCTTCTTCAACTCTATCTGGGAAACCATCCGGACCAGACATGAAAGGGGCGTCTTCAACACCGTCTGCCTGGCTGTCCTCCTGGGGCTGCCCTTAGTGGTGGTTCTTACACTCCTCTTTGTCTGCTGCCATTGCTGCTGCAGCCGGCCACCCAAGAGCGGCCAACAGCCAGACCCAAACAAGAAGAAGAAAAAGAAGAAGAAAAAGAAGAAGGACGAAGACCTCTGGATCTCTGCTCAGCCCAAGCTCCTCCAGATGGAGAAGCGGCCATCACTGCCTATCTAGGGATGGGAAGCTCAGTGTCCTCCCCTCTGAGCCCAGCCTCCTTCCAACCACAGAGACTCGGGAGGAGCCTTAACAGTGATGCACTCATGCCTACAGATTACTTCAACCAAGGAACAAATGTCAGACTGAGCATCCCATTGGATGGGAGCGTGTGGACAATTCTTACACTGTCTTGGCAGCTACGTGTCCAATAACAGTGCTCTGTGTTGTAGTCCCAAGCATGTATTACACTGTCTCTGGTATACTCCATCACAAAAGCACAGAAAACATGTATACATGCACTTTAGATGGAGTCCAAGTAGATGCACATGGCCATTGTATGTATGTATATTTGGACAACAGGTACATGGAACAGTATATTCTGTTTATCATGTGGCCATTAAATATGTACTTTGCACAAATGTACATACTTGCAGAAATGTCTTATGGGAAGATATGTCCAGATTTAGGCACATATGCACAATTAAATAGCCATGCAAGGCTCTATGCACTGTCTATATGCCATTCAGGTTGGAGATGGGTGCTTTCCTCTTCCTATACCTACATAGTATTTTACCGGGAATACATTTAGACATTCCAGGAACCTGGTACAGCCCCCCACCCCACTGTATATTGATACAGACATAGATAGTAGTTCCTATATGCTTCTGAACTTCTACCTGTACCTTAAAGTTTAAAGTATGGTTCCAAATCCATTCAAAGCTCTTTGCTTGCAACTCACGACAAGGTCCTCATTACCACTGGCAGGTGTTTAATGTGGTCCAAGACCTCTTGGGGACATTATCCCATAACTACTCAGCAAGGTGCCCTCTTCTAAGCAGCAATGAACGGCTCTTGGCAGTAACTACTAGAAAGCTATGGAAACTTGTGTGATCTCTTCCATGGGCTGCAGTTACATGCCCACGCAAAGTGAACACAGACAGAAAAGGTAAGGAGATGCCCCACATAAGCTAGCTATGTTCTGTGTGGAGGAAGGTTTTTCTGAAAGGAAAGATGTGAGGTCATCACACGTCCAGTCTCAAAGGCAGCACAAACCCAGGAAGCAATCCCCTGCGCTTGTAGCAGTGCATGGTATGTTGGAGGAGGGATATAGAAGCCATGGTTTAAATGAACGATTAAACTGTAAAGGTGTTTGTTGTTATTTATGTTGATGCTCAGGCAAGTATCTTGTACACAGTAGGTACTCATAACTGTGGATAGATGTACAATGATGTTAGGAATAAACTTGTAATACCTCATGGTTCCCCCCAAGTGACCTGTTCTTTTAAGATACCCCCAGTGACTGCTATAAAAGATGAGACTAGGTATGCAGACCAGGGTTGTTGCCATATGTGCCCTGTGGTACCTGAGGACATGCCCATAAGAGCTGTTCTGAGTCAGGGAGAGCCGTTCCTCTCCAGGCTACAGCTAAGAGAATGAACTGCTTGGTGTTTTGATTATACTCTCATCATGTTATGAAGGCAGAGAATTCCCAACTTGGAAGTGGATTGTACCCTAACAGCTCATTTGTACATCTACTGGGGAGCTCTTTAAATATTTCCCCCATGGAGACCATTATAGAAAGTGGCAAATCACCGTCTAATTAATGGCATAGCCAAATTATGACATTACAGTAGCAAGAACAATCCCTGAATGTGATGAGACTGGATGGAAGCTGAGGTCTGCTTGCTCACGTGGGCTACCTGGTGCTCAAGATTCTACTCCACGCCATCAGAGGGTGGCAGTCTAGTGGTGGCTCTTACACCTGGGTCTTCTAACAGACAGAGCAGTCATATTCACTCTGCCATCCTACAAAACCCCGGTGTCACTAGGCAAACAGGCCTTCCATCCACAGGCCTCTGACCAGAGCAGCACTCCCTGATTCTTTGCCCCTTTGTCACATGGGGAGCTTGCTGTGGTGCCCCTGACTGGCCTTCACATGTCACAGGATGGCCAGGCTTCTCCCCATGCCACACGCCCTTCCCAGCCAATTGCTACCCACCAGATGCCCTTCCCACCTCTAGCTCTTAGTCCCCCTAAGACAAAAGACTTGGGGTAGAGGTGGAGCCAGACAGCAGAGACGGGATGTCGGATAACAGTCCACAAGAATGGATCACCAGGATCAGAGACCACACAAATAACATGGTTTCCGTGACAACTGGCTGCCAGTTTGAATTAAGACAGCAGTCAATTGTCACTGACGCCATAACAAGGCCTCTGTCTCCAGGCACAGTGTATCTACAGTGTTCTAATCGAATGGACTTGAGCCAGTTCCTGTCACGAAACACCCAGAAAGTCAATTCTCAGTTGCTTCCATTCCCTGGAATCCAGGGGTCCCAAGCCCGATTGGATCACTGCTTCCTGACCCCTTCCTGTCATAACCTCTCCGACAGTCTTTCTAGAACACTAGGATGGGGCAGGGCCCATGGTGTGATAGGCCCTCACATGGATGCTGGGGAGCAGCAGCCCAAAGCAGACCTTGGTGTCCTGTATCCCTGCTTCAGTCTTTTCTGTTCTTCTCTTACTGCTTCCTCTCCCTGCATCATGCCAGTTCAATCCTTCATGACGCTCCACTTCCGACCCCTCACAGTCTATCCCAGAGATACAGCCGAGGGGTGGGGGCAGGGTGCTCAGGGTAAATTAACGGAGAACATAAAAGGCTTCGGGGGGCCTGGAGGGATGGCTCAGTAGTCAAGAGCACCCACTGCTCTTGTAGAAGATCCAGGTGCCAGGCACACACGTGGTGCACACGTATACATGCAGGCAAAACACTCATACACATAAAACAAATCTCCTAAAATTTTTCATAAAGAAGAGGTCTTCTAAACTGGTACAGGCTTGGGGAGAGGGGGTCCCTCCATCCTGGACTTCTGGTTTACCTTGACCACACTCAGCCACAGTCAGAGAGGTTCAATGGATTCTTTTGTTCAATGGATTCTCTTGAGTTCCTGGGAGGAGGAAAAAGAACAGGAAAATGTAAAGAAAGGGCAGTCACTTTTTGAGAAGAACATATAAATGATCAAAGTTGTACAATATTTGTCAGTGACTTTTTCTATAAAATTCAAACATGTAAAGTTTATTGAAGTAAATATTTTGAAACGGAAACCCTCCTTGCATGTTGGAGTGAGTTCCTGCTGTCGTATCCCTGAGATATTATTCTCACTCAGAAATGATGGATGGAGAGATTCTCCCTGATTGGTCAATGCTCTCCTAGGATCTCAGGTCCAAGGACCAGGAATGCAGCATCTCTCCCTGCTGTGCAAAGCAGGCAACCTTGGAGACTGAACTGGGCCATAATGGCTGCAGAAAAACATACTGATGTTCCCTGGAGACACTTAGAAAACATTTCTCCAGTGAAGTTGACCAGTGTCTTCTTATAGGAAAAGGAAGAAATATTAAAGATGTAAAAAAAAAAAAATTAGGATCTCTGGGTTAATCTGGTGGTGGGAAACTAAGGATCAAGGACCCCTACCACAACTTTGCACTAGTTAAGAAATGAAGTGATCTAGATGCTCCTGATTCCTCTCTCAACCATGCTTAGCTTGTCATTAAAATAGGAGCCACCTAGAGTGCTGGCCAACAGAGCAAGATATTGGAAATGTTCTCTATCAACACTGCCCGTTCTACTGCTACCAGCCACTAAAATTAAATCAAATTTAAGTCCAGAGCTCTATTATGCTAGCCATATTTCAAGTGCTCAATAGCCACCTCATGGGTAGGAATACCACCCTCAACGGCATCTAGCATCTTGTGGGAAGAGTAGGCAAATGTTTGTGAACAGCTGTGCTGTCTTAATGCCAGCTTAAGAAGGAAGACCCACAGCACAGCTGCGTGTTTGCTGTCTTGCCCAAGGCAGGCTCCTTCACAGTGTCGGGTGATTCGTGAGCTCCTTCCCCTGTCTCCACACCCCCATGACAACCAGGTAGCAGAGTCTTAAGTCAGCCGCTATTCATTCCTCCAGGACATTGCAAAACTTTCCAGTGCAGAGGAGGGGCTGCCCAGGGGACCACAGCTTACCTCCCAGACCCCTCAGCTCCACCTGCCCGGGCCCACCCATACTCCGGGTGAGAAGATGGAGTTACACAATGCAATCATCCATTAGCATTCTCAGCTCACTGGAGTACTCCGCTGACTGCTTGCCCTTTGGCCTTAGGATTATTCTAGAATTCAAAGTCACAACAACAACAAAAAATCCCTTTGAACAACTTACTGTCTCGGCCATAGGTTCAACTTATTGAGATGTTTTCAGATTTCCATGGGGACAAGTATCACACTTTATTCAGTAATGGCAGGGCATACACATGAAAGTATTTTAGCTTTTACCATGTCCACCAATCCCCAGTTATGAGAATCTGTCCTGAGGGGTCACAACCTGCCTAAAGGAACAGACCACTACAATACAGTGTGCTCCTTGCTGTCCCAGAGGGACGCACATATCAAGGCTGGCATCAGGTCAGGCTAACAAAGAGTTAGTTGTACTGGGGTGAACTGAGGAGGGAGGCCATGACTGGGAGAAAGGATGAGAGTCCCTGGGCATCGTGGGCTAGGACTCAAGACTAGGATGGTCCAGATCCTGATGCCCACACAAGTTCATACTGAGTGCTGTAACCTCATCTTAAGACTCATCTTCAAAAGTTAAACAGAAAAATGCACATAAAACATTTAGCACAGGGCCTGGCTTATGGAAAGTGCTCAAGTTAAGCGTTGTTAATGTGACTAGAAGGAAAAACATGGGTTGTGTTCTAGAAATCAAACCTCAGTAGGAGAGAATCAAATTATGCCCTTGGCTTTCACTCCCCTTTCTCTTTCTTCCATTCATCATCCCATTGACCATTCATTGAAAACCAGCCTCGGAACTGGCTAGTCCTAGACGCCTATTGAGGAAAAAGAAGAGTCAAAAGTTTGGGATGACAATACAAAGCCTCAAGATCCAAACGCCCCACCTACCACTCCAAAGGGCCTTGTAGTACATAAGGGGCATTCATGGTCCCATTTGATTCCTGCTTCATAAATAAGGAAAATGAGACTCCAAGAAAAGAAGCCTGCATACCCAGGCTCAGAATGGAGAACACAGTCGTTGTCCAGGAGCTTCATGGGTCTGGTCATCAGTCTGTAAGTCTCCAAATGTCCTTTTCATGTGTTCCACAGCAAGCCCTGCCTCCTTGGCCTCCCCTAATTAAACCTAATGCTCTTTACTAGCCAAAACAAAGAACTGTATTAGTTTATTTTTCTTTCAACTTACAATACTGGGCTGGAGAGACAGCTCAAGGGTCAGGAACACTTGCTGTTCTTGCAGAGGACCCAGGTTTGGTTCCCAGCCCCACATGGCAGCTCACAACCATCTGTAACTTCAGTTTCAGGGCATCCAATGTTCTCTTCTGGCCTCTATAGGTACCAAGCATGTACTGGTGCATGCACATATACGAAGACAAAACACATGTGCACACAAAATAAAATAATTAAGTCTAAAACAAATCATTTTAAAAATTAAAAAGCTGACAAGCCAAGTGTAATTATAACTTAAGATTTACAGTACTGCTTCAGAAGTATTCTTTTCTATCTTTGCCCTTATAATTATGTAGAAGCTCTCCTATTTCTATAATGGTCAGGATTTTGTGAGCTAGCCTGGGAACATTATTTACATAACACTGGAATTGGAACCCAAAGCATCCACAGAAACAATCCACTCACAGAGGCATTTGGGTTTGGAAATACCCCTGAAACTGTCTACCCACTGCCCAGCCCAGTGAGTGGTGGTAGATGGTTGGGGGTAAACAGAGCCAAGGGTGGACTAGGCAACCCCTTCCAGGGAGTGCCTGCTTATCTGTTGTGCTGGTCCAGGAAAAACACTACCTGAGCAATCACTAAGTTCAGGGTGGATGCTGCTGGACTCAACTGGCCAACTCTCCAGAGAATGTTACTCAATAAGGAAGAAAAGTGGAGACCCCTCCAGAATGGTCCCTTTGTGGAGGAAAGTTTCCCTTGAACTGAGAGGCACCTGATAAGGCAGCACTGCCATCTCCTGGCAAGACTGGGTATAGGAGGCCTCTTGCCCCAGGCTGCAGGCTCCAACCATGTCGAGGGCTCCCGTTGACATGAAGTCTGTTGATCCTCTCAATGACCCTGGTGAAATGCTTAAAGTAGTGAGTGATTTATAATGTTTTTTTAAGTGGAATAGGGGACCTTTCCTAGGAACTAAGTTTCACCAGCAGCTTTTCATCATCTTTTCTTTTTCTTCTAATTCTTTGCTTGTCTTCTT